TTTCAAAACAGAATTCCAAGAAATACAAGTCCTTGGGGTCCAGTACAGAACTCCAAATGGAGACCAGAAAAAGAAAAAAGAAAAAAAGTGAAAGAAAAACTAAGGAAACAAGTGAGTGAGACCAACACTGACTAGACTATCGTAATACAACACACGTCAAGGGAGTTGCAGTCATGTCCAGGACCTATACCAAAGCAGTATTGAGATTAAGGAACCAGGAGCAGCTCGATTTCTTCCAGAAGATTTAGCTGTCAAAGTGGAAGAGGCAAGAGCAGGTGCTAGACAAACTGACTGCAGGTCTGGTGGGGAAATTTTGAATGTGTTTCTCTTTGGGGGGCAAGGGATATACCTAGTGCCCCTGGCTCTGTGCTCAAGGGTAACTCCTGTTGGTGCTCAGGAGACTCCACTAGTGCTGGGGACAGAACTGGGGAGTTGGACGCAAGGCAAGTGCCTTCCCCTCGCTGGCCCCATGAATGCGTCCCACGATGGTTTCTGTGGTCTCTGTGTGGGAGGAGAGGTCTTTTGGTAGGACTGAAAAGGAGTGGTCGAGGAGAAAGAAGGGGAGAATCAGGAAATGTGAAGACAAGGTAAGCATACCAGGAAAATCCAGAACAATCAGGCATTGTCGTGCACCTAAGGAAGGTTATAGATGACCTTACTAAGAAATCACTAAACAAACGACCTAATGTTAGTAGTAATTTTAGCTATTAGGAATAAATAACTAGAGCAAAGTATAGGAAAGTTTTGTCTCCACATCACAAGCAAGCTAAGATTAAGCAAAGTACTTTAAAACATGAGTAATGTTCATGAAAATTGGATATTTTGATGCTACCCTAGCTATTTATAGAAAATGAAAGAAATCTCATCTTTTATTTTATTTTTGGCTTTTGGGCCACTCCTGGCCATGTTCAGGGGATCATATGGGGTGCCAGGGATTAAGCCCAGTTTGGCCATGTGCAAGGCAAATGTTTTACCCACTGTACGATCTAGCTAGCCCCCATTTTGATTTTGTTTTGAGGCCACATCTGGTAGTACTCAGGGTTTACTCTTGGTTCTGTGCGCAGGGATAAATCTTGGAAGACTTGGGGGACACTAAAGGGTGCTGGGCATCGAACCTGGGCCGAGTGTGTGCAAGGCAAGTACTATCTGCTGTACTATCTTTCTGGCCCCAGCTCCCAATCTTTTAAAAATTATCAGAAAATGTTCTAGTGAGATTACTAAATAATTTTACTATTAGGAACTTAATGCATTATATCCAAAGTCCTACTGAGATAATATTTTTAGAAAACAGATTTATGGGTGTGAAATATGAAATACTGTTTACCTTTCAGATTCCTAAACTATGATTGCATTTATGTGCAACTTATTTTGAGTGATTGAAAGCAGCTGAACAAAACGTTCTGCTGAAGTATTCTTGATAGGAAGTAAGAATTCTCCCTCCCTTCCTCACCTACAACAATTACTTTCGAGCCACTAGAATTTGATGAGGTCAGACTTGTACAACTGCAAATTATGATTGAAAATGTTTTATTCACTTTAAACATAATTGCAAATTATGATTGAAAATGTTTTATTCACTCATGATTCATTTTCCAAAAACATTAATTTCTATTAACATACACATCATTTTGCATTTAGAAATTATTTTCAAAATCCATGTATGAAAACTACCTTTGAAGAAGATAAGACATCAGGAATTATCACATTAATTCTGAGATAGTTAGAGAAAACAATCCAATTTGTTTTTGAAGTGGAAGTAGTTACTTCTGCAAGGAAATAAGCTTTTTCAGCTCGGCTCCTGATCAGTGAAGTTGGTGGATCAGTTACAGAGTCAGGGCAGAACAAGAATTACAACCTCTCTTATGAGAGCTAAACTATAAAAATATCCAACGTACATTCAAATGTATTTTGTAAATTGTTGTTCTACAGTGTCAGCATAAAAGAACAGCAGTGTTGTTTATCTAAAATTGCTCTAAAATAAATCACAACTTGATTATTTCCAAAAGAAAATGTGATTTTGGGGCTGGAGCAATAGTACAGCAGGTAGGGCATTTGCCTTGCACGTGGCTGACTCGGGTTCGATTCCCAGCATCCCATATGATCCCTTAAGCACTGCCAGGATTAATTACTGAGTGCAAAGCCAGGAGTAACCCCTGTGCATTGCTGGGTGTGATCCAAAAATTAAAAAAAAAGAAAATGTGATCTTTTTTGGAAAGTGTGATTCAAAAGGAGATTTAAATCACGCACATACAATTTGCAAAAGTTAGAGGTATTATTTCTAAAATAAATAATAATGATTTTCTTATAAATGACAGTATTGGAAATGGAGAGAAATGTTCTTCATCACTAATCATCAAGGAGATGCAGATCAAAACAACTATGAGATACCACCTCACACCACAGAGACTGGGACACATCCCAAAGAACAAAAGCAACCAGTGTTGGCATGGATGTGGGGAGAAAGGGACCCTCCTACACTGCTGGTGGGAATGCAGACTGGTTCAGCCCTTCTGGAAAACAGTATGGACGCTTCTCAAAAAATTAGAAACTGAGCTCTCATTTGACCCAGCAATACAACTCCTGGGAATATATCCCAGAGACTGGCAAAAAGTACAGTCGAAGTGACATCTGCACTTGTTTGTTCATTGCAGCACTGTTTACAATAGCCAGAATCTGGAAAAAACCCGAGTGCCCAAGAACAGATGACTGGTTAAAGAAACTGGGATCACTGGTGGTGGAGAAAGGGCACTGGTGGAGGGATGGGTACTCAATCATTGTATAACTGAAGTCCAAGCACAAAAATTTGTAAGAATACAACTGTACCTCATGGTGTTTCAGTAATGAAATTTTTAAAAAATAAAATATTTTATTGCAAAATACTGTAAAAAAAAAGAAAGAAAATGGAGAGAGCTAGTGCAGGGTAAGGAGCTTGCCTAGCATGCGACTATCACTGACACAATTCCTGTAACTGCATACTCTCCTTCTGGAACTGCAAGAAATGATTCCTGAGCACAGAACTGGGAATAAACTCTGACCACTGTTGAGCATGGCTCAAAAAAAAAAGATAAAACTCTGCAGTGTTATTAATATTATGCAATTGCAATCTATCTATATAACACCTATTATTGCTGTCATGTCTGATATCATGCATATATTACTCATATGTACTGAGTTAATCAACACAAATCTGACATAAGCATTAATAAGTATATACGTATATATAATTTAAGTATGGATAAACTGAGATTTGAAAAAATTTAAGAACTTGTTCAGTGACTTTTCTTTCTAGGGTCAGTCCGGTGCATGGCAAGCACCCTACCCACTGTACTATTGCTCCAGTCCCTGGACATATTTCAAGTTAAGTTGGGGACATAGGAGTTGAAGTTAGGTCTCTGATACCAAAACTCACATTGTTTTTCCTTTGCTCCAATTTATCATGTGACAAAATTTCTATTCAGTGGTTAAACTTGCAAACAGCAAAGCACTACAAAAGTGTGTGATATCTCGTAATACTGGGTTGAGAAATGCCAAATAACCAACATATACCAGATTACCATTGTTTCACACCAGGATAAAAAAGGGGCTGGTGGTAGTGGTGGAATGGGAGAGAAATGTTCTGGAAAGAAATGACAAAGAACACTTTTTCTGTAGTCTAAAGCTACGACATCTTTAATCCACACAATATGTCATGTCTGCTCACCGTCTCCAACCGTGACAGGAAACACACTGACCGCCATTGCCCTGCTTGAGTATACAGGCTTCCTCCCTTGCTAGTGACATGGGTGGATCCTCTGAGAAATGGGATCCTTGAAATGCAGGGAGGGCAGGAGCTGGGATGGAGGATGAATAGCCCCATAGACACGTTGCTTAAATATCCTAACTGCACAGGGAAATGCTTCCTGGGCTGGCCAACACGATGCAGTGCTTGGTTACTGCTGCTGTCCAAAACCACATTAATCACTAGAATAGGGAAATACTGGTTTACTGGTTATTAAAATATTTACATGGATGACTTTTATGATTAATGGGCATACACAAAGAACTTTTAATTAAATTTTAACTAAGAACATTTCAAAATAAATAAATATATTGGATAATTTTTCTCTATTGACTATATTATGTCTGTTGATAATTTTTCTTCATAGTTACTATATTTCCTAGAATAAAACATTCTTATTCTTACAACAAAATATATCCTTATAATATGTCAGTGTTTAGAACCATAAAAAAAGACATTTTTCAAAAGTTAAAGTAGGGACAAGGTACTCATTCACCAAACTACCCATCTTCAATGACTGAAATGGGTAGGTTTCATTGCTTTTGGGGGGCAGGTGGGGAGGGGTGGTGGGGGCATACCTGGCGTTGCTCAGGGCTTACTTCGGGCTCTGAGCTCAAGGATCATGCCTAAAGAAAAAAAAGTTAAAGAAAAAGGGGGAAAAATCACTCCTGGCTGGTCTTAGCGAACACTTGGGGTACCGGAGATGGAACTGAGGTCAACGGGTGCAAGACAAGTGCCTACCTGCTGTACTATCACTCTGGTCCCCAGACTGAATTCCTCAGAAATGTTACTTTTTGTCCTGTTGTTGTACAAACCCACAAAATCTTATCAAATGATTGGTAACAAAATCTTCTATAGTACACAGTGTTTAAATTATGCTAATTGCATCTCAAAACCCAAAACTACAATAATTTTGAAAATAAGGGTGTAGAATTAGATGAAGAAACAGCAGTTTTTTTGTTTGTTTTTGTTTTTGTTCTTTGGGTCACACGCGGCGATGCACTGGGGTTACTCCTGGCTCATGCACTCTGGAATCATTCCTCGTGGTGCTCGGGGGACCAAACGGGATGCTGGGGCTCAAACCCAGTTTGGCTGCATGCAAGGCAAACCCCCTACCCATTGTGCTATCGTTTCAGCCCCCAAACAGCAGTGTCTTTATTTCAAATAAACAGTTCTTGAAAAACTGCAAAAGCTCCAACAGCACACCCTTTAACTCTCTTACCTCAGGCTGACTGGAAATATTCAGGATGAGGGCCCATAACTCAGCCCGCAGAGCTGTGGGGCTCCCTTGTCTAATATACTGCTGGGCAGCGGCGCTATCTTGCTCCACGAGAACTGACAAGAGGATATTAAGATCCCATTAGAAAACTGCCAAGGTAAGAAATTACTCTGGCACACTTAATTAAAAATGTCTGGGGAGGCTAACATTTTATCTTTATATCAAATAATTATATCATGTCCTGACAACTTTCTTTCACTCTCTGAATTTTGATGTGGCCCAACTTACAGACCTAAGTCTCAAGGCTTACCTGGACTGGTAAGAAGTTTGTAATTTTCTACCTCACTTTATTTTAACTATGACTTCCTGGATGTCAAACTAATGATAGATATTTATGTGTGTGTGTGTGTTTGTGTGTGTGTGTGTTCGTGTGTGTGTAATATAAAATATAGATGTGTATATATATGACTAATAAAATCTTGAGAGATTCTTATTTGTTGTATATTCTTATATTCTTATATTCTTAATTTTACCACAATCAAGTAAGTCATATTCACAGTGATCCTGAGTCTCATATATATATTCTATGAATTAATTGATATAGTATTTGGAAGCCATATGATGTAATAAATATCTACAGGGCTGGAGTGATAGCACAGTGGGTAGGGCATTTGCCTTGCACGAGGCCCAACCAGGGTTCGATTCCTCCACCCCTCTCGGAGAGCTCAGAAGCTACCGAGAGTATCCCGCCCACACGGAGAGCCGGGCAAGTTCCCCAGGGTGTATTTGATATGCCAAAAACAATAACAACAAGTCTCACAATGGAGAGGTTACTGGTGCCCGCTCGAGCAAATCGATGAACAGCGGGAGGACAGTGCGACTGCTACAGTGCTACATAAGGTATCTATATTCCATTATATGGCTTCTTAGCTAGCTGCCAAAAATCAACAGAAAGAAAACATTTTTTCTTTCTTTGCTTTTTGGGTCACACCCGGTGATGCACAGGGGTTACTCCTGGCTCTGCACTCAAGAATCACTCCTGGCAGTGCTCGGGGGACCATATGGGATGCTGGGAATCAAACCTGGGTCGGCTGCGTGCAAGGCAAATGCCCTACCCGCTGTGCTATGGCTCCAGCCCCCAGAAAGAAAACATTTTAAGAAAAATAAATCTGATATTTTAAGTTGGCCAAAAATTATTGTGAGCAGTCAAATTCACATAGGTAATATCCTTTTGCCTTTTATTGCTGTTTGAATCGCTTTAATACAAATAACAGTTAACTCTTGAAACAAGTCTTCCAAAGCAAACAGCTCTCCCCCCCCGCCACCCCCCGGCCCAAAAGAAAACATACTTCACAACTACTGACATTTGACAGCAGTTTGTTCTAAGTGTTTTATTCTCCTTGAAAAGGGAATCTGGCTTGAGTTCCCTCTAGCCTTGCTGGGGCTAGTGAGCGGCTCTCCAGCTCCTCTCACAGCTCAATGTGCCCGTCCTGGCCCGCGGTGGGGCACAAAGTGCATGCATTTCTGTTCCACATTTCTCTGACTCCTTCCTCCCCTTCCACCCTCACTGTTGGTAATCGCAGAAATGACCAACTCATGCACTTGGCTATAAATGACAATTGGACACAAAGAAAGGGGAAAAAGCAAAAGGAGGAAAAAAAACTTCCATTAAGTAATAATGTCAAGAAACAAAGGGATCATATGAAATAAGAGAGACAAAATATGCGCTTTGATTTAAATGGTGTTTAGTGAAAATGTAAAATCGTATAAATGAAACATTTTAAACAAATATGATTCTGAGGAACTGAACTGCATAATTGCCAAAGGCTCATTCAGCCTCAAAGACATCTCTGCACTTCATATTTCAAAGACAAACAGGATTTATAAAAGCAAGAAAAAGAACCTTCAAAAGATCGGCCAAAATTAAGCCACAGTACACAAACAGCATCTCTGGCCATTAGGTCCTGCCACTGTGATGAGCCATCAGGAAGCCTGAAGGCTCCATTTTCTTCTGCCTTGGGAGAATCTTCTCATTAACACTAATGAGATGCGTGTGGGTGCATCAAAGAGAAAGCCTACCGCTTTGATGTTCAAATGATATCTGACTGCTGACCAGATTAAGCTGATATTCTTGAGAGATGTGTTTGTCAGTTATTATTTCCTTTTTAGTGAAACATCTGCATACTTCCTTATCCGACATCTCTTGATATACCAAAAGATGCATTTCCCCTCTTTATAAGGAATGCTAACTATAATATCTACAATAGTAAAATATCAAACCTCTTTCAGGCTTTTAGTTTTTTCAGAAATTAAATTTCAGTTGAGAGCTAGGAAACATTTACATAGGATTGCCTAATTTCAAAAACTATGATATAAATAATAATCCAAGCTTACCTTTTTGCCCAATACGTACATGCTCATTTTCAAAAAGTTCTAAAAATAGAAAAAGAAATTAAAATGATCAGACACAAATATAGCCAGCCAAATTGAGGATAATAATATTTTTTCCTGAGATTAATACTTTAAATTATTTTTTGAGCTGGATGGTGGTCTCCACATAAAATATCTTTTTTAAAAAATTGTATAGATGATCATAGAAAATAAAAGGGTAATAAATTATTATTTAAGCAGAAGAAAAATTTGACAAATTTTTTCCTGTTAAAATAATATTATTTTTAACATAAAATGTTTCTGTTTATTAATCTTTAGTTTTTCCCCCCCAAAATAAAAAAAAATCCTAGTTGGTAATTCCCCTTCTACTCAAATCTACTATTGTAGATATAGTAAAAGTCTTAAGTCTACATAGGTAAAATCTCACTATACAAAGGCCATTAAAAAATTATACAGGGGCTGGAGAGATAGTTGGGTGACTAATAGTGCTTGCCTTACACACAATTGACTCTGGTTCAACTTCCAGCACCCCATATGATCCCTGTTGGGCTCACGAGGAATGATACTTGAGCACAGCACTAGGAGTAAGCCCTGAGTGCAGCTGGGTGTTGCAAATAATAATAATAATAATACAATTAAAAGATTATATAGGATATGCAGTTTTTTTTAAGTGACAATCACAACAGAAAATCCTGACCATATGAAAAATTAAACTGCAATTCATAAAAATATTCTGACTGTCCTCCCATTGTTCATCGATTTGCTCGAGCGGGCCCAGTAACATCTCTATTGGAGACTTTGTTGTTACTGTGTTTGGCATATCGAATACGTCACGGGGAGCTTGCTAGGCTCTGCCGGGCGGGCGAGATACTCTCGTTAGCTTGCCGGGCTCTCCGAGAGGGGCAGAGGAATCGAATTCGGGTCGGCCATGTTGGCTGCATGCAAGACAAACACCCTACCCGCTGTTCTATCGCTCCAGCCCCATAAAGATACAACTGATGGTAAAAAGTTGAGACAAAGTAGGAGAATACATTTCCAATGTGTATATCTTGCAAAGGACTTAAAAAAGTAAAAACTCCTGATAAGATAATGTATCCACTGAATAAAGGACTCCAGAATATTATAGACAACTGGTAAGAAAGTAAGAAAAGGCAAATTATCTGGCACAAATAGAAAAAGACTTGAACAACTGAACATATCCAAACGACTGACAAACATAAAAATATGGTCAAGCTTAACAGTTATCAAACAAATTCAATTAAACCCATTCCCATCACAATGGCTAACATGAATATGACTGACACCAAAGTGCAAAGGAAATGGGGTATGTCAGTTTCTCATTTGGGAAGTGGTGGGATGTGAATTAGCACAGCCCACCTATTTCATAAAAAAGTTGATATTTACTAACACTGAATCTATGCTCGGACTGTGAAACTAGTAACTCATTCTCAGAAGCATAAGTATATGCCTGTATCAAGAGACATGTACAAAAACATTCACAATAGCTCTAGTGATACTAACCAAGCAATGGAATACAAATACAATACAAATGATCAACAATAGTGTAATGGATCCCCAGTGACATACTCATTCAAAGGATTACTATCCAACAAGGAGAATGAATGATATGAAAGCACATATATCAAATGGATGCTTCAAACAGCATTAGGAATAAGTAATTAGATACAAGACTACCTACTGTATGATTTCATACCCATAAAGTGTAAAACTAGGCAAAACTAACTGCAATGCTGGATGTCAGGATAGTTGTTATGGTCAGAGGAGTCTGACTGTCTAAGTGGGATTTGGGGATGCTGGCAGTGTTCTATTTCTAGATCTGGTTGGGGGTTACACAAGAGAGCTCATTTTATTAAAATTCACTGATCTGACTAATTACATGCCCTTCTCAGTATGCATGATACACTTTTATTATATTTTTATTCAATCACCATGAGATACAGTTACAAAACTTTCATGTTTGAGTTTCAGTAATACAATGATCGAAAACCCGTCCCTCCACCAGTGCACATTCTCCACCACCAATGTACCCAGTATACCACCCCCTTTCCCAACCCTCCCCCTGCCTCTATGGGAGACAATTTCCTCCATACTCTCTCTCTACTTTGGAGCATTATGGTTTGCAATATAGATACTGGGAGGTTATCATGTTTGGTCCTTTATCTACATTCAACATACACCTCCCATCCCAAACAATCCCTCCAACCATCAAAAACTTAGTGATCCCTTTTCTATTCCAGCTGCCTTCTCCCCTAGCACATAAGACAGGCTTCCAACTATGGGGCAATATTCCTGGCCCTTATGCCTACTGTCCTTGGGTGTCAGTCTCATGTTATTTTATATTCCACAAATGAGTGCGGTCATTTTATGTCTGTCCCTCGCTTTCTGACTCATTTCACTTAGCATGATACTCTCCATGTCTATCCACTTATAAGCAAATGTCATGACTTCATCTTTATTAACAGTTGCATAGTATTACATTGTATAGATGTACCAAAGTTTCTTTAACCAGTGGTCTGTTCTTGGGCACTCAGGTTGTTCCCAGATTCGAACTATTGTGAACAGTGCTGCAATGTACATAAAGTGGAGATGTCATCTCTACTGTGGTTTTTTTTTTTTTGCACCCTCAGGATGTATTTCCAGAGGTGGTATTGCAGGGTCAGATGGAAGCTCAATTTCTAGTTTTTGAAGGAATGCCCATATTGTTTTCCAAAAATGCTAGACCAGTCGGCATTCCCACCAACAGTGAAAGAGAGTCCCTTTTTCCCCACATCCACGCCAACACTGGTTGCTTTTGTTCTTTTTAATGAGTGCCAGTCTCTGTGGTATGAGATGGTATATCATTGTTGTTTTGATTTGCATCTCTCTGATTATTAGAGATGTAGAACATTTTTTCATGAGCCTTTTGGCCATTTGTATTTCTTTTTTGGAGGAAGCTTCTGTTCATTTCTTCTCCCCATTTTTTTTATGGTGTTGGAGATTTTTTCTTGTACAATTATATTTTTAAATAGAGTAAAACAAACAACAAAAAAAGATGATGAAACTATGGAGAGGGCTTTTAGCTCCTCTTCCCATCCCTGAGAAAATCAGTTTCTCAATTTCTTTTTCTTCACTTTCTTCTTACCATGTGATAAAGGAAAAGCTAATTGGTACACAGAAACTAGCCAACCTTTTCTAATAAAAGGATAACTGTGAGTTGAAGTCATGAACTGGCATGTGACTCTAGGTCAATAGAGCCTTGGGTCCCCTGACCACACGGTGGCCATCTTGGCATTTGTCTCTCTTCTGAGCAGAAGGCCATTGCCCAGACACCTTGGCTCTCTTAAGTCAGAGGCCTGCTGCTCCTGGTATGACCTGGGCCCAGGAGTGGAAAACATGTCCTAGGCTAAGATTTTAACCCAGTTTTCCAGAAAGCTCATTTTGTAATGTTCAAGATTAGCTCAGACAAGTAAAAATATTACTGTAGTTCTGTTTTCCATTTGTTACTATTTTTAGTGTTAGTTTTTTACTTTGAAAATTATCTATAAATCTGGTTTTGATAAATAGAATATTTGAGCCAGTGTAGCCTATTCTTTTATTCTATTCTGAATGGCTCTGATGTTATTAGTTAAGTAGATTACACAATGACCAAGTAGAATGTTTCTAGTCGTTAATAACATACAATTATTTTTATTGCTAAAATATTTTAGCATATTTATTTCAAAGACTGCATAGGAAAAAGCAATTCAAGTCCCATTCTAATTATCTATGATTCCCCAGAGTTAGTAACAAAACAAAACAAAAAAAAAATCAAAAGCTGTCAGTCAATTTTCTTCTCTTGCAAAAGTGGATATTCGTGGATAATTGTGAAATCTGATTATTTTGTTTTTAAGTGTTTTTGTCTAGTCCAAGAATAGGTAAGAATAAGCTGTCAGAAACAGAACAGGTTTGTAGTCTGCTTCTCAACTAATTGTCTACGGACCCCTGTGTTAACAGATGATTCTAGATTAGTCTATTTTATCTAGATAAAAATTATCTGGTAGAATGGGTTTGGATGATGCTGATTCAATAGCTCACTTCAGGCTTCCAGCAGTGTTTAGAACAATCATACATAGTGTGATGTGATGCACAGTCTTTCCCGAACCCTGCTGGACTACAGCACCTTCTTCTTCACCAGCCATTTGAAGAGAGCTTTGCAGAGCTCACTTCAAGAAATATTTTGCCAACTGAAGATGCATTATTTTTTAGAAGCCCCATAGAGAGGGTCCCTGAGAACAAAGTCAGGAGTAAGTCCTGAGCACTGCTGGCTATGGCCTCCCAAACAAAAAAAACAAACAAAACCCTTGCCTCTGCCTAAATACAAGTATTTGCAATATCACCAAACGCCTGTCATTGTCAAGTTATCCAAAGGACTAGACTAAAAAAATTATTTTTTAAATCTAGGCAAAAATAGTTATATATGATCACATTCTTTTCAAGTAGCAATGCTCAAGTCACTAAAAAAATCCAAGCATTAAAAAAAAACTCATTGATGCACCCTAAATTAACCCCTTTTAAAAACTTCTGCTTTAAGAAAGAGAAAGCAAAACTACTCCACTGCAATGAGATCATCCATTGCCTCTAGACTCAGTTAGGTATTCTTCCCTCTGTTGCAACTGCCCAGTGCACATAATAGCAAAGAACACACTGTTTTAATATGAATCTTACTTTCCACTATATCTTCCCTCAGAGCAAAGACCACATCTACATATTCAATGATCCTTGGTCCTTAGCAGTAATCCCCACACATCCACTGTGTTATCAGTATATGAAAGAAAACTAGACTCCACAGCACTATTATAAAGTACAGAATAATTCCAATAAATTCTTAAGTATTATTTCAAAACTGATCTGTAGGGTTGTTTAGTAAAACAGGGAAATAACAAAACAATAAATAACAAACAAAGAAGAAAACATCAGACCCGCTCTCAACGTGCTTGGAAGAGCCTCACCCACGACTGCAGAAAGACCTAGGTATGCAGGACTTGAGACTGAAAACTCCAGGTTCAACGGAACCAGGAATGGTTGACCACCGCCCATCTCCCGTTTTTTCCAGTAGCTTGGCAGTTACACCCACAAAGCTGCCACTGGCGCCATATAATCTCATTAACAGCACAGACTCAATATAAACTTATAGAGCATAAAACAATACTCTATAGCCAGGCCGCCGGACCTGGTGCTGGGCTGTTTCATCAAGGGCAACCTGGAGAGAGGTGATGAGGCTCCTCCCTCCTCCCCGCCTCAACACAGCCAGTCCCAGCAGCCCAAAACCTCCAGACCTCAATGGCCACCATGCTCACAGCCACTCTCCACACGTTTGGGCCGAGCCTCACCCATGAGAGAATCTATTCCTGGACTGCATGACATCTTGTATTTTACACCACCAATATAGTAAAAGTAGTACACCACATTTGACTGGATTTAAAGTAGAAGGCAACCAATTTCAGGGGGAAATACATTTATACAGATATAGATATAAGCACACAAGGCTCAACCTTTAACAACATATTACTCTATAGCCAGGCCTCTTATAGAAGAGCTTAATGGCTCCTGGGTGAAATTCAACAATCTTCACACACTTTCCTCTAAGAAACCTTTTTTGTTTCCTTTTTAGTGGATTATTCATAGCAAGCAATACAAAATAAATTATTCCGATTCTGCTTTGGGGGCAGGGTTTGGGGTTTGGAATGGAAATATGGTGGTGGGAAGGTGTAATGGTGGTGGGATTGTTCAAATATTAAATGCAATGAAGTATCGAACAACTTTATAAAAATAAAATAATTTTTTCTAAAAAACACAACAAATGTGAAAAAAAATAAGAAGAGAACAGAGTTATTCTGTTTACCTCTTGGTTTGTATAGCTCTCGAGCCAGAGCACTGTCCAGCCATGGGGCTGGAGTGATAGCACAGTGGGTAGGGTGTTTGCCTTGCACGTGGCTGACCGGGGTTTGATTCCTCTGTCCCTCTAGGAAAACCTGGCAAGCTACCAAGAGTATCCCGCCTGCATGGCAGAGCCAGGCAAGCTACCCGTAGTATATTCAATATGCCAAAAACAGTAACAACAAGTCTCACAATGGAGACATTACTGGTGCCCACTTGAGCAAATCGATAATCAATGGGAGGACAGTGCTACAGTGCTACAGTGCTATCTCTAGCTATGAACAGAAGTTTAAGACATCTGGGCAAAATCATGAAGGCGACTCAAACATCACCAGGTCCCACAAACATGGGTGTCTATACAGAACAGAAATATATTTCTCATGATTCTGCAGGCTAGAGATGCAAGATCAGGGTGCCAGAAGGGTCCTGGAGAAGGCCTTCCCCTAGGTGTAGATTGCTGACTCTCCTTGGTCTTCCCTGGGTGGGAGCCAGCAGCCTCTATGAAAAAGGCCCACGACCGCATCCTTTCCTGGTCTTTCCAAAGGGCCCATCTCTTACTAGAATCACTTTGGTGAGTCTATATAAATTTGAAGTGAAGAGGTGGGCTAGAATACAAATAGTGAAACCATAGCAATATCTATGGTGAAACCAAATTCCACAGGATGGATATGTCGTTCCCAACGTTCTCCCTTCCAAAATTCGACACGCCATTTTGGTAAAGAAACAAACAGCACCTGGCCCAGACAAGGTCAGACCTGAACACCTGAAGTACCTGCCATCAGTACTCATAATACACTAGCTTGGCTCTTCACACACTACCTCTCTGAGTGCAAGGTTCTGTCCCAATGAAAAACCAGCAGGACTGTACTACTGTACAAGAAGGGAGACATCCACGAAATTGGCAACTATCGCTCAATCTGCCTATTGTCTGTCATCTACAAGCTGTTGACTTGAGTCATCCTGAATAGGATTGGCAGAACACTAGATGAAGGACAACCATGCAAGCAAGTTGGGTTACACAAAGGATTCTGCACCATCGACCATATCCACATAATAGCCAAGCTCACTGAGGTTTCTCGGGAGTTCAAGATACTGCTCTGTCTAATATTCATTGATTTAAAGAAGGCCTTTGATTCTGTTGAGACAGAAGTGGTCATCGACAAAGCCCTAGATAATCAGGGCATTCAAACCCAATACATCAGGATCCTCCGTGAGCCGTATTACAGATTCACTACCAGGATCTCACCATTCTACAAAGAAGTATCATCGATGTCGAGAGGGGTTCGGCAGGGTGATACCATTTCACAGTAACTCTTCAGTGCCACCCTCGAGAACATCACGCAATGACTGGAATGGGAAGGAATGGGAGTGAAGATAGATGGCAACTACACCACCTCTGCTTTGCTGATGACATCGTTCTAATAACACCAAATATTAGCCAAGCGGCATAAATGCTGGCCAACTTCAACCGTGAGTGTGGAAAGGTCGGACTACAACTGAATCTCACAAAGTCAATGTTTATGAAAAACTGTCTTGTTCCTGACGTTCCATTCGCTCTCAATGGACTGACCATCTCCGAATGCAACAATTATGTGTACCTAGGTCGAGAAGTCAACATGATGAACGACCTGGCACCTGAGTTGCGCAGGAGAAAGAGAGTGGCTTGGAACGCCTTCAAGAGCGTCGAAGAAATAGCTAAGAGGATGAAGAACCTCCAGCTCCGAGCACAGCTCTTCAATTCCACTGTTCTTCCTGCATTAACATACACCTCAGAGACCTGGGCCCTACGAAAACAGGATGAGAATGCTATTCGGGTCTCCCTAAGAGGAATTGAAAGAGCTATGCTTAGAGTAGTATCATGTTTCACTCAAGTGACAGAAAGAATCCGGAGTTCCAATCTCCTCTGAAGGTCAAGAATCAGGGACACTGTCTCAATTGCGAAGGTGTCGAAAATCAGATGGGCTGGTCATGTAATGAGATTTGGAGATGACTGCTGGACTAGAGCCATTACCAACTGGATTCCACAGGATGTCAAAAGACAGTGTGGCCTACAAGATGGTCAGACTTCTTCATCAAGACCCTGAACAATCGGTTTGAGGCTCTTCATGTTCCTAGAACGAACAGATGCTATTGGGCTACACTAGCATGCGACAGGAACGAATAGAGACATTACTGGCACCTGGTCGAGCAAATCGATGAGTAACGGGAAGTCAAGTGATCAAGTGATAGCAATATCTAACCCCCCAAAATATCTGATACTGAAGATGACTTTTTTTTTCTGGACACGAGTTTGCCATATTCTCAGGTTCCTACCCTCTGAACAAATTCATTTTTCTTTCATTAAAAAAGATATCTAAAGGAGAAGGAGGATGGCACCACAGCTTGGAAGCCAGCCTCACATGCTCAGGGAAAAGGCAACTGGGATAGAGAAGGGACCACTAAGTAAATGATGATTGGAGGGATCATTCAAGATGGGAGATGTGTGCTGAAAGTAGACTATGGACCAAATATGATGGCCTTTTAGTACCTGTATTGCAAACCATGACACCCAAAAGGAGAGAAAGAATAAGAGGGAACGTGCCTGCCACAGAGGCAGGGGGTGGGAAAGAGTGGAGTGGAAGGAGGGATACTGGGATCACTGGTGGTGGAGAATGGGCACTGGTGGAGGGATGGGTGCTCAATCATTGTACGACTGAAACATACTGTAACTGAAACTGAAACCGTCTGTAACTGTATCTCATGGTGAATTAATAAATTTTTAAAAAATATATCTAATATTTTCTAATAAAATAAGACTACCAAAAAGAGTGGGAAGCAAGAATAGTATAGCAAGTGGCTTAATTGAATTTTAGTTTCACTAGCTTTGTGACTTGGGGCACATTACTTAACATCTCCACTACTTCAACTCTAAAATGGTGGTAATATAGGGTTGGAGAAATATTACAGCAGGTAGAGCGCTTGCATGGAGCAGATGCAGGTTTGATCACTAGTATCACATAAGGTCACCTGTGCACTACCAGGAATGATCCCTGAGCACAGAGCCAGGAGTAAGCACTGGGTACTGCCAGGTCTGACCCCAACACAAAATAATAAAGTGGTGGTAATCCTACCTTACAACACACAAGACAATGAAAACCACACTGCTCTATCATTACACACCAGCAAAATGAGTAAAGCAGCAAACTTATAGCTCAAGCTCTTATTCTTACTCACTGCTGATTTAAAATGGCACCCCCATGGCTGAAAATTCTCTAGCAGTTACTTATTAAAGCTGAATTTATGTACACCCTAAGACAAAGAAACTGTATTTCCTGGTGTGTGATCAGTAGAATGGTAAGCCATACATACAAATATTCACAGCATGCTTATATGTGAAAAGCACACTGAAAAGCACACTGGATTTATATGAAACATTTTATTTTTTTTCAAGGCAGAACATAAGGCATATAGTAAGCTTGGTCAAATTTTAAAAATGAACAAATATTGATGGTTGGTAAAGGAAAATATAAATGCTGCCAATTAACAATTCGCCAATAAAGTAACTTACACATGTCTAATTACTTTTCAAAATTATTTTAATGATCTACGAAGTTCACTTATAGGTAAACTCTGATAATTATAACATATAACAGTCAATTAAAATTAACAGCAACCAAGGAGAGGGAAAAAATCATGCTTAATTGTAATGCATCAAAAGTTCACTATCAAGCATGAGACACAATACAGGAATTAAGGAGTTTGCCTTGCATGTGGCTGACCCCAATTCAATGCCTGGCCCCCCATGTGGTCCCCTGGACACTACCAGTCTTAGGAGACCATATAAGCACAGAGCCTGGGAATAACCCCTGAATAATGCCAGGTCAGTCCACCCTCACTCCCAATATCCCCCTCCCCCAATCACCACATTAATTTGGAAGTGACAAGCTTCTTGATCACAAGCTCATTTATCATTAATCATATACCACAGAGCAGACATACTAACCAGGAGGCACGTTTGTCGAATCATCTATACCCAGTTGTCCTGTACCTAAGCCGAGTTCTACAAAGAATTCTTTCTGAAAAATAACAGATGAAGAATTACATATTATACTTTGCTATAATTAAAGATGATTCTTTGACTGTAAGTGTAACTATGAAACACTTCTGACATTTATGTAAAATAAACATGAATGGAAACTATGTTTTAAAATGTTAAATATAATAATCACGACCATCCTGTTATTCGTCGATTGCCTCGAGCAATTATTTTATAATAACATGAAAAGAAACTTAAATACGTATTGCTCCAAATAAAGCATCTTTAGTAATATTTTTCTTTCCCATGACTTTTCTAGGAGAAATTTTATGCTTTTATGCTCTGGACCAATATGAGTGACGTAGTTTTCTGAAATTATTTTTTAATAGTTTTCATTTCCTCTTTTTTAGGTTGGAGACTAATGAGTTATGAAAGGAATGATAATTATCCTTTTTAAGTAAAAATAACATTCAAATTCTTTCTGAAATGCGCATACACACAGTTTATGAAGCACTTGTCAATTTTACCTTCCAAAATCATTTTCTAAATTTACTAATATAATTTTGTATCTGTGCTTTCTATGGTACTGTACAGAACAAAACACTGCAAATAACCGAAACAACTTCAATTAATTTTTAAGTAACTATCAAATGCTTTGCTAAAAAAAGCGTAAATTAGATTTATTCTCCAGACTTCCTTTACTTATCTAGTAATATCTAGGGAAAGTAATCATGTTTGTCTGTAAAAAACACACACATATATATTATAATCCCATATTATTCATGTTATTTTTATTCACAAGTAATTAAATATTTCTATTAATATTTTCTTAGTATTTTGTTACTATTCTATTTGCTAAAACTAAATGTCTTTCCTCTTTAGAACATGAAAATAACTTTAATCCTTCATAAATTATATTTACGATTTAATTTAGTTGTTACTGTTTCTAACATGACAGTTATTCTGCCTGCCATGCACACACATTTTATTTCTGTATTGATTTTAAATCATTGCTACTTATTGCAACTTTTAGCTAAACTTGATTTTTATCTATTCTTTCAAAATGCTCTGCATCTCATGTCACCATTTAGTGACTACACAAGCAATTCTTTGTTATTTTCTAATTTTCAATCCATGCCTTCCAATTAATATTTCTGAATCAGTTTTATTGCTGTACTGGGGTTTATGATGCAGAGAATCACACTCATGTATGCATCATTCCAATAACAACCACCCCCAACACAAGAGCCCACTTTGCTGTCCCTAGGACCCTTCCTGACAACGAAAGCTCAGTTCAATAGACAAAATCTTCAGTTCCAATGACTTTAACCATTTGTTGCTCCCTTCCTATGTTTTTGTCTCCCACTTACTATACAAATACTTCCTTCACCAAAATAATTAAAATAAATATTTTATTTTTAAAATAAGTTTGATTTTCATCCGTTAGAATTTAGGTTCAACAAACACTTTAATATTAGGTTAAAGTGTAGTCACAATGGTGAATTCCACTTCTGTAAGTACATAAGCTGACCTCTCAGCATTAACTTTCTATTTTAGAGCTCAGTCCTAGTTTTTCCTCGATTATCAGTAGACCTCAGCTCTAATCTCAAGTTTCCTTCCAAACTCAACCAAGGTGGCATACCTTCCTTGATATTCTAGGACAGTATAAGCAACTGTCCATGACATGTATTACTTATTTTTAAAATCAATCTTAATCAAAGCATAAAATCTCGTGATGTTGAAATCACCTTTATCAATATCTTTTTTTAAAAAGTATTCTGATAATATTGGAGGAATGAAAGGTGGCGGCACTGAAGCCCCGGTGGCGGGAGTGATGACCATCAGTCACTAGGAAGCTAAAGCCTTGAAATTCCATGACATTGCACACCAATAAGAGTCAAAAAAAATTGGCTAAAAGTCTCTAAAAAAAGAAAATTCCTTTAAACACTGTTGAATATATCTAATATTATGAACTAGATTTAAGAGACATATATTACAGGCTCACAAAATTAACTGAACTTTGCCAAGTTCAATACTTGTTATACAGACACATCAGGCCATAGATAAAATCAGGCATGCTGGGGTGATAATCATTCTATAAGGCCAAATGATTCAGAGAAAACAGGGTCAACTGACAACAATGTCTACAGGAAGAGATCCTCAGAGGCAAAGCCACAACTGCTCGAAAATCATCACTGGCTCTTGATTGCCCAACAGCTAAGGATGAATCCAAATTAGTCATAAGTTCCTTTAGGAGAGGAGACATAATTAGTGCCACTTCTACACAAGTGGAACCTTTTCATAAATGCTTCTTCACTAGCATGCTGTCAACCTAGTTCAAACGGCTGTAAGTTGAAATGATATCCCACCTTTTCCAGAAAAATCTCACATTTCCTCTTCACCCAACAATAGCATTTGGTACAAACCACGCGAACAGGACTTTTAATACTTAAAAACCAAACATAAAATCTTAGCAGTGGTGGCAAATTATTCCAAAAATGCAAACAGAATCCTACATAGTAATTCTACTTGGTACTAATACTGCTTACTGTGTTTCAAATACCAGCTATATGCTTTACATATTATGTTTCCTATGGCTGTTATTTCTAAAAAAGTAGCACTACTTGGACAGCTTTAAAGAACAGAAATTTGTGCTCACAGTTCTAGTTGCTAGTAATCCAAACATAGCTGTTAAGAGACCATGTTCGCCCTGAAGGCCCCAGGTCCGAGGGGAGAATCTGTTCTCTACCTTTCTTTTAGTTTCTGGTATTCTGAAAATCCTTTTTGTTGGCTTATAGACAGATCACACTAATCTCTACTTTTGTTACTTTTTTTCTCCTGTGTGTTTCTTCTTTTAGAAAACCCAATCATATTAACTGTAGGGATTACCATATTCTGGTAAGATATTATTTTAAATCAAATGCACCCGCAAAAACCCTCTTTACAAGTAAAGTTCACAGATACTAGACTAAAGGATTTCCCCACCTCTTCTAGAGGGACACAATGAATCCATAAAGTATCTCTTAATCTACTGGTTTGCTAAGCACTAATCAGAGATTGTTTTCATCCTTATTTTTAAAATTGAAAAAACTAACATTGAAGGTCAAGAATACTTTTTCAAAGTCACCCAGTCAGTAAGTAACAGAATATAAATCAGGACAAATAAATCCTATTATCAAGATACTGTCTTTATTTGGAGAAATAGTTTTTGACTTTAAGAAGTCAATTCAGCTAAAAGACTTTTGGCAACAACAAAATAGTTCCCTGTATCATTATGTCTTATATATTATTCCCCAGTATAAACCTACACAGGCATACACACACACACACACACACACACATGATCATAACTGGACCAATAGACAGAGACAACTACTTTCATATTTCTCCTGGATTTTATATCCACATTGGTACATTATTATTTTTAATTCATCAATATCAGATATTGATTTTTATGGCAAATAAGAATTTTAGTTCATGCAGATTATTTTTCCTCCTTCCATCATGTCAACAAAATTATATATCAATACTTACTTATTGATATATCAATATCAATGCTCAGTTTACAACCATATGATGACTAGAACCACTTTCCTATGCTCATTTTTTATAGCTTACAGTTAAGCCACTTTTCATTTATACAACTTTCTGTATTCACTTACTTCGCCCTAGATTCTTGAATAACTTTGAAAAGACACTCTTTGACTACTATTTTGCATGTGGTCAAATCTGTCAGCTCATGTAAACTTCTGGTATTTCTCTTGCAGGCATTCTCCCTAGAGTCCTCCATCTTCCTGTGCCCACCTGGGATGTCCATCACTATACTCCTCTTCGTCCCAGAGCTTTTCTTCATGGTTATTTCAGAAATTCTCCTCTAGGCTGGAACTCCATTTCCCAAGTCCTCTCTTTAACTTTTTGTTTAAGATTTTGTTTTTTTGGAAAATTCTACCATTAACCTCCTGAATAAGAGTAAATATTTTGGCTCACATAAGTTTGAAAATGTTTACTCCAATGTTAGAGCTGATTGACTGTTATTTACATGTGGAATTCTCAGTTTGAAATCATTGGTATGCAAAGGCATCATTTCAAGATTTCTGGCCTGCTATCCCGTTACTGAAACACATTCCACTCTAAATCCTGGCACTGACACTTTATAATATTTCTTTTTCTAATCTCCATTATATCTGGTGTTCTGATGTAGGTCTTCATCTACTGATGACATTGGTTGTAAGTGGCTGAGACTTCTCATAACTAGAGATGCTTGCCTTTCAATAATTGGAAATTAAAAAAATTCACTCATCTGTTTCCTTTTTCAGGAATTCTCCTGTTCAGATGTTGGACCTCCTGGATTAGTCTTCTAATTAAAAAAAAAAAAAACCTTTACTTATTTTTCAGCTTTTTGCTCTCTTTGTGGTAGAGATTTCCACAGTATTAATTTCAAATCTACTGATTGATTTTGCATAACATATTTTTGAATTCACAAAAGCTTTTTCATTATATGCATGTACATATATTTTAGAAAATGTTGTTTCATGGGTAATATCTTCTCTCTGAGAATACTAAAGACTTAATATTTCTGTTTCTATTGGGATGAAATGGTTAATAATAAGATAGCCTCTTTATCCATGATAAGATGATCTTGGGTTTTCCTTCTCCTAGCCCTATTACTCTGAAAATATGCCAGATTACCACCTCCCCAATCCCTCCAAAAAAGGTGGAGGGCTACCTACATTACTAAGTAATTCTTATTACTAATAAAAACCATGAACCTTAACTGGTAATTATATTTGAGATGCGAGACTAGGCATAGACTCAAAATCTACTAAGAAATTGAAGGCTGAGTGGCCCTGTGAGGTGTTCCTTGAGAGGGCTTGGGAGCTATGCTCATGCACATGATGGGAAATGGTTTCCATTGTGTGAGACTTCCTTACATTGTGTGTATGTGACCTTGTCACTTCCACATGAATGTATTCCTTGTCAAAGCTGAAAGTAGCATCTGACTGACTACAGATTCCTGTGAATATTTATCTGATAATGCCGTACTAACATATGAATAGGCTGTTTTCTGTCCACTATCATCTTCCAAATCTAAGAGAACCTGGTACCAAGTTTTTTCTATTAGATCCTGTGGGAGTATGAATATAAATTCAAACCTGAAACTTCTACAATGGTCCTGATAAGCACTCAGTTCCCCATTTGGCTAACTTGGATATTTCGCCCACTTTATTATGACTTCTTTATGTGTTTCTTTTAGTTTTAGTCTTTGCTTTGCAAATTGGAAGCTTGCAAATATTTAAAGATTTTACATTGGTCATTCATATTTAAGAATAAGACTATAAAAAAAAACTGACTAGAAGCTCTGTCTGTAAGAACTGAATGTAGAGTGTGGCAGCCTGCATTGTCAAGGCAATTTTATAACCAGTCAGCAATCCTTTATCAGGGTTTTCCCTGATGTCTTCTCTCCTGCGTTCAGAGTTGGTACAAGATAAAGAAGGAGTGAAACTGGGCACGCATAGTGGTAGTAGGAAGGAATGAAGACACACTGTCACCAGGCAGTGACTTTCACTTAGTTCTGATTGTAAGACAGTGTCTTATTCCTAGCCATCTATCTGAGGCCTTCGAGCCAAGAGCTTTCCTGACTCTCTCTACTTAATATGCTTCTGATTGTCCAGGAGCAAAGGAGTCCCCTTAGTATGCAGGATACAAAAGGGCCTGCAAGTGAAGCACCTTCCTTCTAGTGGTGGCCCTCCACCATGCTCTACTGACAAAGTTTAACAGTGAGCCCACCGACAGAAATGTTTCTCTGACCCACCAGCTCCAACATAGAACAGAACTAAAGCAAGAGGTGGATTTGCATTTGAGAGATAAATTTGCCCTTCTCACTCCCACCTTCTATTTCTAGAGGCATATAGGCTTGACCTCCTTCTTCATTTAGGGGCCACTTATCATTTTCCCATCAGCTCTCTAAATACAGTACGCCTTTGAATTACAAGTTGCTCCTTAGTATCTTCAAAACAATTTACATGTCTCCAAAGACTGTATTTAAATATTTGTATTTTGGAATACCTTTTTTTTCTTAGCTCAACCATCAGGAAATCTCCCACTAACTGCCTTAACTAATTTCTACCAAAAAGTCTCCAGAGAAAAGAGTTGAATTCATCCTTATCTTCCTTTTTCATTTTATTCCTTTATTTAATGAGCAGATTGTGCTGTTACTGTTGATATATGCTTCCCTAAAGTATATTTCTGATGACTATAAATATGTTTGTTTTTTAAGTCCTATACTTACCAGTTCAGGGATATCTTTTACTTTCAGAGGAACTTGGATTAAACCCAAATGAGTCCTGAAACTAAGAGAATCACCATTTTCATAATTTGGGTTGCGAAGATTAATTAATACCTTTAAAAACAAATCCAACAAAATTGGTTAGTTTTTTTAATAGGATGCTAATACTTACACTACTGACTGTGCTATTCTTTGTACGTCACCACAAAATAAGAAACTATCTGGGGCTACACATTTTCTTTAATTATATCCTAAAATTTTATAAAATTATATTGCATTATTAAAATACCAGACACTTTTAATTACAATAGTGTAACATTCATTCCAACCCATTAGCTATAAAAAAATTTTAAAGTTAATAATTTAGTTAGAAAAAACTTTTCGATCATAAGAAAAAATAAAATTGATTATGTTACCAAGGAAGGTGAGAAAAAAGTTTAACTGCTTGCCTGTACTATTTATCATAGAAAAATGTAAAACAAATCTAAACTCTGAAAAACATACTAAGACGGTTGTTAAGACTTTTTTTAAACCAAAATAAATGTATATTACAGGGTATTTAAACCAAATCCATGTGGAAAAGGGGGGTATTTTTGTAGCCTAACTAGTAAGTGGCAAAGACCATTTACATACTTTCCTTTTCAAAATTGGGCTGCAGCAATAGCACAGCGGGTAGGGCGTTTGCCTTGCACATGGCCAACATGGCCGACCCAAGTTCGTATTCCTCCGCCCCTCTCGGAGAGCCTGGCAAGCTACGGAGAGTATCTTTGCACGGCAAAGCCTGGCAAGCTACCTGTGACGTATCTGATATGCCAAACACAGTAACAAGTCTCACAATGTTACGGGCCCGCTTGGGCAAATTGATGAACAATGGGAGGGCAGTGACAGTGACAGTGACTTTTCAAAATTAAATGGAATAAAGAGGGTCTTAGAAATATGCATATCTTTGTCTAAAAAACTCACTTCTGTGTGGGAAAAAAAAGATGTCTGCAAAGATAGTGCAGAAAGAACAAAATGAAGCACTGCTAATCACAGTAGAACATGGAACAAATTAACTACTGGGTTAGAAGGAAGTTATGAAAAAATTATAGTGAATTCATATAATAAAATATGGCACACTATTCCTTAATATAAATATAATAATATGAAAATATTTATAACATTTTAAAAATTTTAAATGGTTGTATTTATTGCCGTGTGATAATAATTATGGGCTGAAATGTCATATTATTTTATATGGATTCTGAAATCTTTTGTATATTTTCTCATTTTCTAACAGTATGCTTCAGAAGAAAAGCAAAATAATTTTTTAAATATTTCTAAATTAATTTTTGAACTGGAACTCTAGAGGAAAACAAAACAGTAACAAACCACTGATGACAAAACCACTGTCATAGTTTGGGAAAACCTTAACTGAAAATTTATAGATGATAAATAGAATACTACTATGCCAAAATTTCCAAAAATTACAAACACTGAATTGAAACTAAAATCATCAGTAGTGGAACAGAGAGATTTTCCAATGGGTAAGGTGCTTCCCTTGAATGCACCAGCTTGGGTTTGATCTCCGGCATCCTATATAGTTCCCCTGAGCCCACAAGGAGTGATTCCTGAGTGTAGAGCCAAGAATAACCCCTGAGCACCACTGGGTGTGCCCTCACCCCTGGCTCACATTAATAGTACCTGTACTTGAAAATATTTAGCAAATAATAGTGTTAAATACAAACTAATGTAGAAAAGAAATTTTAGCCTAATTATACAAATAATGCATCACACTTCACGAGAAAGTCACATAGAATAGAAAACAAAAAGAAAGTATGAATACATAGGTAATGAAAAAGGGAATATGGCAGAAATACAGAAACTATAATGAAGGAAATAACTATAGGAAATGTTAGTGATTAAAAGAAGAATCTTTACATAAGTAATAAAAGGATCAATTTAGCAATGGTTCTAAAGGAAGTACAATGTTATTATTAAGAAGAAAATCTAGCTAAAGATAATCCATATAAAATAATATGACATTTCAGCCCTTAAGTGCCAGAGAAGGATAGCTTGAGAGAGACTTTTGATAAATTAGACAAATAACACTACCAACGACAAAGGGCAGTTTCTGACAAGTTACTATCTCATCAGAGATAAAGTCCAAAAGGCCTGAAATAATTTCTAACGTTGAATACTAAAGAATTGGTGTGAGGGATCCTGTGCTCAGAGCATTGGCAAAATAAAATGTGAGGAATTCAGCCATGATCTGCACATTCATTTAGCTGCTGTTTATTGGCACTTATGTGCTAAGCCTCCTGTGACTGGCTGGAGAAAGCAGTTAAACACTATTTAAGCAGTTAAATAGTAGTTGTATGCCTATTTCCAAGCCTACATGAAGCCAAGTTGTGATTTCATCATTGATGAGACAGAATGAAATATACTATTCATGTAGCACATGCTATTTTAATATCCCCCGGAGGCTGATAGATTTATTTCCATTATTGATTAACAATATACAGGTTAATCAATAATGCAACTAAGGTAACCTGAGAAGAGGCTGAGGAGGGAAGGAAGGTGTGTGTGTATGGGGGGATGGGAAATAGCTAATCTAAAATAAAAACTGCAACTTTGATTTAGCCAGTGGGAGTGTAAAAGACCTGTTGAAAAATGTTGGTCTTGTTCCCCAGACTAAGAGATCTTGCCTATCTCTTGGTGGCTCATAATCCAAGGACAAAAACACATCCTGTACAAACAAGGAAGGCCTGGTGTCTGGGTCTCGGAGAGGGGCTTCCTGATGGGGAGTCTTTACAATAATCTGACTCAAGTTGTTCAGGCAATGACCAAAACAGAATGAGAAGGGCCTGGTCTTTTGAAGCCGGCACCTCGTAAGAGAAGGTCAGCAATAAGCAAAATAAGAAAGCAGTATAATTTATGATGAAAAGCTTTGTCCACAATGAAGCAGGAAATGTCTATCAGGAGTTCCAAGAGAGAAAGCCAGCAGCAAAATCCTGGATGAGGGAAGGAAGTCAGGGAAGCAAGAGGCAACAGCAGTTAGAAAAAAGTCAAGGAGACCAATTCAGAGAGATAACAGGGTGTTGGGTAAAGCAGTGTTTTACACCACTGTTGTGGCTTTAGTTTGTAACAAGGATGAGTTGAAAAGTCACTGGATACCAACAGAGTGGCTTATTCCGAAAGGCATTGAGATTCCTCTGAAATTGTGCCAGAAACAGAATCTAGACAAAGGTCAGGGTGACACAGGAAAGTCAGTGAGGAGCTACTGTGACAGTCCAGATAGGAGAGGGATGCTTGGACCATGGAGGTAGCCATGGTGGCAATGGGAAATGGATAGATTCTGGATCTATTTTGATGGATAATGAATAGGATTTCCTAATGAATTACATGTAAACTATAAGGAAAGATTGAAGTGAAGAAAGTAAATTAAAATAACGGGTTCTAAAGGTCTACGAAAAAGTTCCACTAGAAAACTTGCTGTCATTCTCAACTGCTCCTCACTTTCACCAATGGGCATGTTCCTGCCATACCTCTAGAGGACAGATCAGTTTACTGCCAGGACAAATGATCTCTGCCTAATTACTACAAAATCTAGGCATGAAAAAGTCATCCTTTTCTTCTGATGTAGCCGCATCTTAAACAGTTCCTAAAATCTCCTCCAAATCTCTTAAATTTGTTGAATTCTATTTCCAAAGCTGTTCTCTTAAGCATACAGAACTTTATCATGTTTTACCTGGACTACTAAAACAGGGAAGAGATGAAAATGTAAAGATTACTCAGCATCTTTACATGTCACTGTCACTGTCCTTCCTTTGTTCATTGATTTGCTCGAGCGGGCCCAGTAACGTCTCCATCATGAGACTTGTTGTTACTGTGTTTGGCATACTGAATATGTCACCAGGAGCTCGCCAGGCTTTGCCGTGTGGGCGAGATACTCTCGGTAGCTTGCCGGGCTCTCTGAGAGGGAGGGAGGAATCGAACCCGGCTCGGCAGGGCTGGCTGTGGGCAAGGCAAACGCCCTACCGCTGTGCTATCGCTCCAGCCCTAAATATCTTTACATGCCAGGCAGAATTTAATCAAAATCTTCCTAATATACATACTTACCTCTAATCTTTCCAAATTCTTCAAAAGCAATTTCCAGACACAAATCAGATCCTATCATTCATCTGTTTCAATGGCTAAAAGGCTCTTTCATGGTAATCTTATTGCCGGGAGATATTATAATACCATCATTTCTTTCACATTTTCCCAAAGAACTTACCTCGAGAAAATCCTTAGGTGCATAAACAGGTCTGAAAAGGCTTAAATCTAAAATTAATGAGATAGATTAAAACAAAATTTCAGTTAAGATTTTGTACCCGTGCCAATAAATAATGTCAATGATTCGTACACTGCTGTGCAGCTAGATTACTTCCAGCATTGGCTGAGAATCAGACTGTTATTTGTGATACATTGTATTGAGAATTGACAACACAGAAATGAAGATAGTCCTTCCCCCTACAGCTTAAATGACATTATTTGCAAGAAATTAAGAGTCTGCCTTCATAAATTTGCACATCATTTTGAACTGAATTCTTAAAAAATCAATAAAATATGAAGTTCTATTAAGAGAATTTTCAAAACACTTAGACTACAATATATTCTCTTTTTTTCTACAATATATTCTTCATGTGTTTCCCTGATAATTTGGACCTGTCTGCCCTTTGAGCTCTTATAACACACTGTTTCCTCTATTATGATGGGTGTCGTTTGTCGTTTGAAAAAAAATTCACTATTTTTCTGAATGCCAGAGAGAGATCTTGTGCATGCCTTGATTATGAAATTACAAACATCAACTGATCACAGTAAAATGATGTCTAGTTGTTACTGTATTCTTACAAAACTGGCTCAATTTTAAATATTAAAGAAACCAAAATAAATTATAAAATTAGAACTCGAAACATTTTACTACTTAATTCATCTTGTTAATTCATCATTTAACTTGCAATGTAACTAAGTTTGAAAATATTTACCTTAATTGAGTTCAAGGAATCCACTTTATCTTATACTTCTATAAAAATGTTTTTAAAAGCTGCCTTAAAAAAATATTTGAGCGCTGGAGAGGCAGATCAACTGAACACATGCTTTGTATGTAAGAGGTTTGATCTGTGGCACCACATGGTCCCCTGAGTACTGCAGGAACAAGCCCAAGCAACAAGCCCAGAGTAGTACATGAGTTTCAATGGGTGTGACCCCCCAAATAAAAATAAAATTTAAATATGATAATTGATTAAAATGTCCTCAAATAGTGGAACACAGAGACAAAAGTTAGGAATTTTTCAACTGTAACATTCAAGTTTAAGTAAACAGATGATAATAAACTAGTAAAATGGGGAGAGAACTATCTTTCCAAAGGAATTATTAATGTTACTACTATGGATTTGTAATTAAGAAGGAAAATATTTCCCTTCTACCACATTTTGAAAAAATATTTTCAAATACCTGGTTCATCAGTCCCCATTTCATTCCATTTATTGAGAAGTTCTTTCTGCTCTCCAACTGGCCTCTAAAAAAAGTAATTTTAAACTTGGTTTCAATATATGAAGTTAAGCAGTGCAACCGAAAAATAAGAACTGGTAATTTATCTAAAACTAAGCTACTGAGCATAAGGGAAAATAACTTCATTACAGACAGTAAACAATATTTGGAATTACACTTAAATTATTATTTTTAACTATTATATAGCCAGTCTCAACTCAAAATATAGTGCTAGTGAGTCTAAAAAGAGAAGGTCAATGATGATGTGTACAGGCCATTAAATTTCATGAAGAAAACCTGCTCCTCAGTCACATACTGCTTCTCTTACCCCATCCAGAGATGCAGAATGCATCTCAGAAATGCGTCACAAGGGGACTGGCCAAGAGAGTGTGACTGTGAGTCAGAAGCATCATCTTCCTATATGACATATTAACTAGCACTACACGGTTAGACAGTATTTCACACAGATTTATCCTTTTATGCACCATCCTACTGGTGCCTTCAGTGATCTGTCCTTGGATATTATCCAAAGTACATCCATAGATCCTGTCTCACAGTAGGGAATAAACAGCAGGTAAAGAGAATAAAATGGAAAGAAACTTATCCTCTCCCACATGTAAGCAACTCTAGAGAATCCAGGGCATTCCTTACGTGCCTTGTGTCTCCTTTCTCTCTCTCCCTACTCAAGGCCCAGGCTGGTGGATAAATATCGAGCATTAGGCATAAATCTAATGCTACTAGATTTAAACAGTTTACAGAGAGAAGAAAAATGATTTCTTTGCATTGCCTATGTTAACATGAAAGATGGTACCATTTTGGCTATTATAAGTCAATTGAATTAGAAGTCTACTTCAATTTAAGAAGTATGATCAAAAGTAAGACAAATAAGAGTAATTAAAATCATTGAAGTGTACTTATAACCTCCTTTACAGCCTACCCTCTAAATAATCTGTACCATAGATTCCACATTCTAGACAGAGGTTAATAGAGAAATAATTACAGCATACATACATAATAGAAATCTATATAGAATATACCCATAAATGGCATAAACCCATGAAGCTTTTTGTTTCAAAGCAGATAGTTTTATAAAGAAAATATATCTACATAACAGTTATCATTTCATGACACATCTTTGTATTTATAATAAAATAATTCTATATTAAAAGTACCTTTCTTGCCAATGGGATACTCAGTTCTGTGCACATACTATTTAAACTCTTCAAAATTCTTTTTTCCCAACTTCCCTGGAACATAAGGAATAGTCTATTATTATTGTTTCTAGATAATAATAAAATTTATTTGAAAAATTAAAGTTATCATGAGTTATATCAATAATTGAGATTTCTTCATTTATCAACTCAACAAATATTGATTAATGTCTACTATATGAACAGATATATAGCCTTAGTGCTGTGAATGAGTAATTAATAATAGAAAGTCTCTGTCTATTGGGAACTGATGTCCTACTAGAGGAAGAGAATAAAGAATGATGAAGAATTAAGTCATATTTTGAGAAAAATAATAGATAAATAAATTGTAGGTTAAATTTTAGCATTTTATATCAGAAGTCCCATCAATAAGCTAGCAAAAAAATGAAAATGTTATAGAAACATAAAGTTTCACCCCTAAATACCATGAATATTCTAAGACTACCTTTCTGAATATAATCAAAATACATGTCAGAAAATTGATGAAAATGATATTTCAAATGATATTTATATCATATCATCGAGTCCATTTGCAAAATTTTCTAGGTATCCTCAAGATATTGACAGTGCTTTTAAAATACAGGATCTATTACAAATCCATGCATTATGTCACATTTGATTATTATGTCTCTTTTAGTAGAGCTTTATCAAGAGCCTTTGTTTTCTTTTGAAGGATAAGAATTATTTTGAGGAGTCCAGGCCAGGCTATCTGACAGAATGTGTCATAATCTGCATTAATTTTATTATAACAGTTACTAACTTCAGTAACTGTTAATTTTAATAGCAAGTTACAGATTGTCAATACTAAGCTACAATGTTATATTTTTACTAAAATCCATCCATTGGCCACTCTGACCTACTGAAACAAAAATTAAAAAATTACCCAACTCCAAAATTTTGACAATAAGAGGGACTCTGTATTATGTTATTCTTAGAGGAGAGGGAAGTTATAACCAGTCAATAGAAGTAAAATAAGCACTAATAATGATAAAAATAATAATAACTCCTGTATGTGGTTGTCATCAAGGGTAAAGCAGGAGCATGCTTTCACAGTGACATAACTGTGAAAATAATAATCACACAAGAACAGAGTTTGAACACTATCAGTCACTGCTGCTTTTTTTTTAAGACTTTTTAAAATACATCACTTTCTTCATTTGAAACATATGAAGTTCTCCTATTCCCAGCACACTCCTTAATCCTACTTTACCAGGGAATCTTCTCCCCTTCCCACTCCTCACCTCCCTTGTGCCCTCTCACCTGGCCTCCCACCCCACATGCCAGCTCAGTATTTGCCTACAGCTTCTCACAGCACCCTGTCCTTCCCTATTAGAGCACACATCACACTTTGTCTAGCACATGAAAGAACCCCAGTCACTGAACAGATTTCTCCTCTAAGAAGTGTTGCGAGAATTTCTAACAGTTTTGATATAGTGGTCTGTGCAATAAATAAATAGAAAGAATATGGGAGAAATATAGAGCAATAGAAATATAGTGTGAAACTATAATATATTTATAATATTCTATATTACAAACTATAACATATTTAGTGTATTAAATATATAAAAACAAATTCCATGAATGAAAAAAACACTCTGATTAAAGTACATAAAATATCTCCAAATAAATTCCACTTTTGATTTATTTTCAATTCTCTGTCTTTTCTCTCTCTCTCTCTCTCTCTCTCTCTCACACACACACACACACCACATACAAAGCACACATACACAATACACAATAAATAGATATGAAACTTTAAAAATATATTTGGCTGCCTTACTCATGATAAAATATTGAGGATAACAATACAATACAATTTCAGCATCCTTATTCCCAAATATCAGGGTTAATCTTATTTAACGTTTGCATCTCACTTTAAATACAATTCTCTCTAATAAGCCTCTGTCACTCCTCCGACTCCAGCCTGTGGAAGAAGAGGCCAGAAACACAGAACAGGGGTTAAGGAGCTCGCACTGCAAGCAGCCGAGTCTGGTTTGCTCTCCAGCAGCATATAAGGTCCCCAAGCACTGTGAAGAGTGATTTCTGAGCAGGGGCTGGAGCGATAGCACAGCGGGTAGGGCGTTTGCTTTGCACGCGGTCGACCCGGGTTTGATTCCCAGCATCCCATATGGTTCCCTCAAGTACCACCAGCAGTGATTCCTGAGTGCATGAGCCAGAAGTAACTCCTGAGCATCGCCATGTGTGACCCAAAAAGCAAAAATTAAATAAATAAATAAATAAAGAGTGATCTCTGAGCAGAGCCAGGAGTAAGCTGTTAGCACTGCTGGGTGTGGTTCAAAACCAAACCAAAACACTATAGAATGTGGAAGGACTAGGTATGAAGAAGTTAATTTTTTAAAAACTGGTACTTTCATTCTAATTACTATCATGAAAATCAGAAATTCAGTCCAAAGTTTATATTATTTATCTTATTATACAAAAAAAAAACGGCTAACGATTGAATTATGATTGCAAATGGCCTAATTTTTAGTCAATCATAAAAGAGCTTGCGAACTGGTGAAGAGATAATAACTCTCATATGTATAAAAAACAAAATTATAATCGAGAGTGCAGGGCTCATAAGATGCATGTTCATGTGGAATAAATGATTTTAGTACAATATAAAAATTCAAGTATGAAGGCCATTCAAAACAGAATAAGACTGGGTCTGGGACTAAGCACATGCTCTGTAAGCAGGAGGTCCAGGTTTGATCTCGGCATCCATGGTCCCCTCAGCACCCTCAGGAGCCACCTCAAGCACTGGATCAGGAGTTGCCCCTGCTGGATGTCAAAAAACAAAACAAAAACACTAACAAACAAAACACAGAGCAACACATTCTAATAGGATACCGTGACAAGATATTCTATAACATCTATTAACTTAAGCTCTAAAATTATAATTTCACGAGAATATTTCATTTGTTTGTTTGGGGGCCACGCCCGGCAGTATTTAGAGCTCATTTCTGGCTCCATGCTCAGGGATCACTCCTGGTGGGGTTCAGGGGATATAAGAGGTGCTGAGGATTAAACTGGGTCGGAAACACGCAAGGCAAGTGCTACCTGCTGTACTATTTTTCCAAGTTCCCAAGAATATCTCGTTTAATACTCTCTACAAAGTACAATTGTAAGTCATCAACCATAGTTATTTAAAATGTATATCCCATTGTAGCAAAGATTTAAGTTTAACAACTTTAAATTTAATTTAGCTGTACTATAAGGAGAAAATAGTTTAGAAAAAAGTTACACAGAAAAGATATTAAGATCAAAAGAAAATATTCTGAACTAAATGAGTCTAGGAAGCTCAAAAAGTTATGTGATTTGCATGTGTTTACACAGGCTCTTTTATTAATCCTGCCATATATACATTAATATTTCACTGTATCACTGTCACTGTCATCCCGTTATTCATAGATTTGCTCGAGTGGGCGCCAGTAGCATCTCCATCCATCCCAGCCCTGAGATTTTAGCAGCCTCTCCTTACTCGTCCTTCCCAATGGTACCATATTATATATATTAACCTCAATTAAAAGTGGAAAATACAAAAGAAAATATTAAAAAGAAAACATGAGAACAGAATGAGAAAGAATTTTAAGAACTGAAACAATGCTGAATGTCTTCATTCAACAATCACTTTTTCCGTGTTCTAAAACTAAGGCAGGAATGTAGAAATAACCCAGAAGGAAAAACAGAAGACTGATAAGGAAAGAGAAAAGGATGCTCAGTTCGGAAACGTTTGTGTTTTTGAGGTATGATAGGAAAATGAACTGTAAGAGCTGAGTTTTCAAATAAAAAGTAGTTCATTCAATAAATATTTGTTCAGCATATATTAAATGCACACCAAGAAACACATTTTTTCTGATGGTGAAAACATATCAAAAGATACGGGATATATTATGTATAAAGTAAATAAAGGGTTTATCAGTCCATGTCTTAAATCACAGAAACAACATTTTAAAAACGAGCAAAGCTAGATATACCAATTCCTCTAAACATGGTAGGTACCCACCACTTTCTTAAAAATACTAAAAGTAGGGGGGCGCAGTGATAGTAGAGTGGGTAGGACACTTGCCTTGCATGTGGCAGACCTGGGTTCGATCTCTGGCACCCCATATTGTCCCAAGCACCACCAGGAGTGACTATTGAATGCAGAGTCAGGAGTGATCCCTGAGCATCATTCAGTGACCCCAAAACAAAACAAAACAACTAAACAAAATAATCCTGAAAGTAATGACAGAAAACTGACTGCCTGGCGTGTCTTCCTCATTCCCTGTGCCATATCTAAGATACAATGAGAAGGCAGCAGGATTTTTCCAAGGTAACACTATTTTTTTTGTTTCGGTTTTTCATCATACCCAGTGATACACAGGGGTTACTGCTGGCTCTGCACTCAGGAATTACTCCTGGCAGTGCTCAGAGGACCATATGGGATGCTGGGAATCGAACCCGGTCAGCCATGTGCAAGGCAAATGCCCTACCCACTGTACTACCACTCCAGCCTCAACACTGTATTCTTATATTATTAAGCTTTCAAAGTATATGGGCATCAAGAAAAAAAGATACAAGTGCAGGTAGCAAGTAGGTTTTTCAAAATAACTCTTTCAACATATTTTAAAAAGTAATGGTTTCTAACAAAAAGACTTACAAAACACATAAAAAGATTTTGAAAACTTATTTAAATTAATGGTCTTTTAATTTTAAAATGTTTAAGTAGGAAGACATTACCTTTTACCCAAACCCATATCCTCTCCAAATGAAATTACTGTTGCCTTAAAATCAATTTCCCTAATAATTGGAATCTGTCATATTAACCCAAAGGATTTTAAGCATTTACAAATACAGCAATTTCTAAGCCATAAGAGGCAAAATAATCACCAAAAGAAAAAAGAAGTGATTACAATGAAATCTTCAAATACACACTGGTGATCACTTTACTACTTTATATTTTAAACAATCAAACGCAGGTCTGTAAAAAATAAATAGATAAAGTAAATATAAGCATGAAACAAATATTCTTTGGAACTATAAAATTTTTTAAA